TGCGCATGTACGCTGCCTCGCCTCGACCACCCAACCCTCTAACATACTACCCCCGTTTTCTACCGCCTTCCTTTTACTTCTTCCATCCTATTTGTACTATTTCATTTTTTACCCCATTCACACTGCATCCTCCCTTTCGTACGTTACAGTTTTTATACAGAAATTAACTCGACTCGATTAGTTTTTAATATATTTTTTTTTCTTCCTTCTTTTTCTGCCAACGATCAAACTCCGGTATCCCTGATAAAATGTATTTTTGTCCGAGTTCTACGCGTGTTTATGTGTGTCCTTTAAGGCCAGTGATGCTTCACTCCGGCCCCCTCCCTCTACGAAACACCGAACGCGCACGCTCGAACAAACGTCAAAAACCTTAAAAACCTTCCAGTGCGAAAAGATCGCACGATTCAGATCTCAGATATTTCTTAATAACTGTTTGATGCTTCCGAGACGACTAGTTTCATGGTATTTTAACGCTGACCGAGAAAATACCTCCGACATCGCGGAATTAAGTTCTCGAAGTCCCTGACCCGTATATGAGCTTCATGGTTGATTTCTTACATACCGCTATTCCAATATCTTGCTATTTTTTTTCATAAAATTTCTTCGGTTTCTATATCTTTCCTTACGTATCACTTTGCTCTATAGTGAACATTAATTATCACTAAAAATCGGAGAAAAGTAAAATAAAAAATATCTTAACAATGAAAAGTTACTACATAGTTAATCGAACATATGCCAAATTATGTTTATATATTTATAACACTCTCAAAGATATGTACAGGTAAGCCTCCTATAACACGATAGATAGGTTCCTAAGAAATACCGTGTTGTGTGAAACCGTGTTATATGAGGCCCAGAGCCAGTACAAAAAGGGGAGTTACATTCTGAAAATTTAATAAAAAATTTTTTTTTAATTCTACATAAGCAACTTAATTTTTATGCAAAATATAAATGTATAATATGTATAACACAAAACAAAAAATATTATTTTAATTTAACGCAACCTTAATTTTATAAATTGTAATTTGTTTATATTTTTTTATATAAAACCGCTAGATCATTATTCCTTCGCGTCATTATTTTAAGATAATTTAGTTTTTAAATATGTTAAGCAAAAATCAAGCTATCCAGTGCTGTAGAAGTACAGTGTTGTATAAAGGTTTTCGCAATTTTCTTATCGTGTTATAAGATGCCGTGTTATAGGAGGACTCTCGCAATTTATGAATGAAATAAATAAAAATTTTTTATTAGAACTATTTGTTTACTTTTAATGGGAGGCAATTCTAATATCTCAAAAATGAATTTGCGTGCTCTTCGCTAATTGGTCGTTGACAATTCAAGCAGAATGTTACAACAGTAGAATGAGAGCATAATCATTATTCGAACTTATTCAAACAAAGCATTTTTGAGCATCCATGTATATGTCTCGTTTAGTGAACAACCATGAGTATTTTGGTCATTGACATAGAGGTTAATGTACATAAGATGACTTCTTTAAGCTGCTAGACGTTGACGTAATTAAAATAAGAATTTGGTCGTTCGATGGTTGTATCGATAGTCGACGAATAGACGGTAATCGGGCCAACAATGCGACATCCTAAATTCGATGCTCTAGCTTTTCCTATTTCTCCAAGAGAATCGTTCGGATCACCGCATTAAGAGCGGTGATCTTTGATTGCGTCTGCAGAAAGCGTAACGCGCACGCGCGACGAACCTTCCGAAACCTCAAAATACTTTCTGCCAAGAAAAATTTCTCGACCATATTTTCTGGTTCCTACGCGATACCCATTCGACTACGCGATTACGTACCCAACCCTAATAAATTATGGACGCTGCGTCGACGATGAATCGATTCCACGATACTCGAACGCGCGTCGGAAAAATTGGAAACTACAAACAACGTACATACATATCCCGACCTATTAAATCGGACGTACGATTTGATAAACCTTTTGTCACGAAGATTTAGTACGAAACCTATAAATAATTTACAAATTGTTAACCTTGACGAAAATATTCGATAATGCTTGATCACGTTATTTGCGAATCAGCGATTAAAATGACAATAATCGAAAAGCACTCGGTATGCCTTTTTCGTAAGACGAATATAAAAGATGAGGTCGAAAAATGCTTACATCAGCGCGGACCCCGGATGAAAAAACGAAAAAAAACTATGATACGCTATCAGTTGATTCCAGTTTAAACAGGTTACCAACGAAACGCAACGTACGCTGACGTCAGGCGCGCCTAGTTAACGTATACATTAAAGCCGTTCCGCCGCTAATTTTGACGCGCGTTCAACTATAGCGAAATTAATTTTATTGCCGCGAATTAACACAATTAATTTAACTTTATTACCAGTGAGACGCACAATGACGTCAAACACCAACACCACTGACACGTGAGACTAATTTTTCTGAACAAAGGAAATACGTACCAGTTTTTATTCAACCCGTTCGTGCATTTTCGTTGTTGTTGGTCAATGATAATCAGAAAGTGACGAGACATTCCTTGCGAGCGTAGCTTTTTGTAGGACATAACCTATTTAAGACCACGTTTCTCTCGTGGTAAAAGTATGCGAGGATTCCATCGCTTACGCGAAATTTTTGCAAGATGCATGTGGCGCTATCTTACGGGGAAACTTACAACTTTCTATGTGTCAGGTGTCGCACAGTGGGGCATTTACCCTGAAAACGCCATAAAAGAAACAATTTATAAAACTTATAAATTGTATACGTCTATGTCAATTGGATGAAAAAGTTCTCAAAGTTTGTAAACTTATACAGTTTATACTTCCACGATAAATCTATGTAAGAGTTGTATAAACTGAAACATACAGTTTGCAAACAATTTATCCGAATAAAAAATAATTCGTCTTTCACGAAAAATATCGACTTCATTCTCAACCCTCAAAGAAAAAATAAATTCCTGTTCGTTCACGGATGATTACCAATGATAAACGTGTGTAATTGTAATAAGTAATTCGTTGGTAAGTATTCATTCTGGAGGAGAACAAAATTGAAACTCGTTGAACCAGCCAAAAAGCGAAAAGTTAATAGAAAAATGTTATCGAAAAGTATGCAATAAACCTACCAAGAAGTTGCAAAAGTACGAGATACGTTCCCCCTTCGCAAATTGCTGGCAGTGTAAAGTAATCGGACACGTTGCATACGAGATAAGAGATTCGATGGTCGGATTTCGATCGAGTGCAGCACCTGCGGAAAAATCGCTTTGACGAAGCCTCGTAACCGTCGGATCAAAGACTGGGTGCGTGATGAACGAGTGCTTAAAAATAGCCGATAGAGTGTGTGGAGAATAAAAGCACAAGGAACGAACGGACCAAAGGCCAGCACTATCCGTCGTGGAAAACGAAACCCTAGGAACGAAACCACGCGGTTTCTCGATCATCGACGCTATCCGATAGTTATACGTATTCGCGTAATTGCATCGAACTTTGTCACCTCCATAAAGGGGCTCGTGATATCACATAAAAACGTTAAGATATACAACATATTTCATTTAGAACTATATTTACAAAAAAGTTGATACAGCTATAACGAGTGGCTGCCAACGAAACTAAAATTATTGAAATTTCTATTTTGTATATTATTATTTATATTGTTTTATATTTTTAACGAGTTTTCTATGTTAGAAAATATAAATTTATTAAAATATAAAGTTTAAGTTAACACAGAGATAATTTATGTATAAATCAGTAAGTAACGAGGAAATCGCATTTGAATTTACCGCCATCTTATTTGCCAACGATTTCTTCAAAACTATCGAAAAGAATTTAAACCAATACATAAATTTATATACACAAAGCAACTGGTGTTTGAATGAACACGTTCAAGATGTGATTAGCAATGACGATTACGACATTCAATTATGGTTTCCGGTTATATTAATATATTAGATTAGAATACTGCTTCAGTAAATGAATCGGGTATTCATAGCCAGACATTTGATAGTTTCAAAGTACACGCTTTCGTAAAATCTTTCCGAAATATCAGAATCCACTAAATTCAAGTATTTCTTATAATCCCAACGTATAATGAGAAATAAACCAAAAACATTTTCGCTTAAAAATCAGATATTTGAGAACATTCGCGCGTGTGAAGCGAACTTGTAACCGCCAAATACTCGGCGGGACAATATGGCAGATCTTGTATCATTTCGAATGACTACCATTGACGTCAAGAAATAAATCAGCAACAGCAATACATATTAAAACATCGAAATGTTTAAAAAATTCAGAAATAAAATGCACTGTCTCCTCGTTTCGTCAAAATTCTGTGTTATGTGAAATTTTGTATTCGAATTACATGAAAATATATCGTGGTTAGAACTTTGGCGTCACTCACCGATGATGTCCCACAACGCTTTCCATGACCACAGCATGCACTCTGCTTGGTTCTCTGCAACGTTGTTCGATCTTTCTTCACGGTGAAGGTGAATTTTGTCACTTCATACAGTTTTGTTCATTAAAAAATACATAAATTTGTTGTGTTAGAAGTCAAAAAACAATCACGATGTTCACTCACTGACTGCCGCGCGCGAACTGAACACCTCTCAGCATGTTGCGCAGTGTGTGCAAATTTTTGCACTGCGCAACTCCCTCAGAACCGTCCTACTTCGAGCTACAATGGCGAACTCTTAACCAACGATAAAAATTTGTAACATCACGATGATGTTTAAAACCACGGAAGAATTGGCCATTTTCATAACAAAAATTTCGCGTGAAATTATTTTTGACGTCCCGATATTGTATAAAAATACTTCGCTACGTTTAGTTTCCACCATTTTCGATAATCTGTATTGTCACACAGGAGCTAAGGAAATTCTGGTTACAATTTGCTTTGTAACCAAATTCCCCCGGGAATTGGAATAAATTGAAAGTAATTATTACGCAAAATATAATTAAGTAATTTATACAAATGAATGATAAATGTTTTGCTTAATATTTTTATTCAATGCTTATTTCATCAAATGATATTTTATAATAGAGTTCTGGAAAAGTAAATGTTCCATTTATCAATATAAATATCATTTCTAAGAAAGTATAAATTGAAACACTGGAGATGCGGATAGGTATAGATTCGGACAGAATCCAAGCAACAGTTATATTTTATTTCAAAAGTCAACTCTTATCTTAAAGCACCAGTTGATCCTTGTTAGTTACACTATGTAACAAAATCTTTTCTGTAGTAACAGGGCCATCTATAAAAATAATTCAATGTAATTTAACAAGCACAAAATTTGTAATTCTTCCGTTTAACTCTATTTTCTAAAGTAAATAATCATTATAGCATGCTTACCCAATCTATACCATGAATCACTGATTCCAGCATCTTTCCTGGCTGAAGTGATTGCATTGTGAATTGCAACTAGTACCGAGTAACTCAAGCAGAGAGGTGGTTCACCGGTTGCTGTAACAGGTAATACGTAATGCATAAGTATTATAATTACAAACAAGTACATTGGCTCGTGTTTATCTTTACCTTTCGAACGAAGCACACTCATACGATTAGGTGCATTTCGACGAAAATATACGCGAAAATCGATTGGGATATCCTTAGCCCCTGGTGGTTTGTAATTCTGTAAATGAAGACATTTTCCATGATGTATAAATTATTTTATAAAATGCGTATTAAATCAGAAGAATTAGTCGAAGCAATAATGTAATGTTAAGGAGAACAAACCCAGGTTCTATAATTCGTCAGTTGCCCAGAGTTTGGGTCATACATTAGATCTTCACTGGTCCAATATCCAAGTCCCATCACAAAGGCACCTTCTATTTGTCCCAGATCTATCTCTGGATTCATACTACGCCCTGCATCCTCCATTATATCTACTCTATGTATCATCTGTTGTCCCGTTAATACGTCGATTTCAACTTCTGTAATCGTGACTCCATATATGGAACAAGGCTTTAACTCGTCGTCTTTCAGGCTATACCTATAGAATATACAATAAATATTTCATTAAAAATCATTGAGACACTTGAAAAATTATAAAAAGGATATGTAGTATTTAGTATTGATTATAGTTGATACTAAATAATAAAATTTTACAGTCACGACAACGAAATATAAGAGCATTATAGAAACGACAAAAATGTAGTTTCTAGAGACTATTTGGAACATCTCCTTTTACTACTTAGTAAAGAAGTCCAATATTAGCATTTTACTGAAATGCTACTGCCGAAATTAAACACTAGCAGCATAATATCAGGTATATAGTTTATAACAAGTTTACATGTGACGTGCGCATAGATCAACGTCCTTCTGAAACGCTGCCATCACCAATTCTTGCCAAGATGGATTCTTTAGCTCTTGTTTGATAGGTTCCAACCTTTTCTGAAGTTCTTGACAAGCTACCATTGTTGCCTACAGTCAAATACTTGCGATATAGACATATTAACGAAACCTATAGTTTTGGATACAATGCAATATCTTACATATGAGCAAGTCTCGCTAGTGACACTACTACCAGTGACAAAAGTATTTGGAGATGTCAGATTATTGCTTGGTTTAACAGTAACCAACGATAAGTCAATTCCTAAGGTGTGTGCTGCTACTTGAGCTACCTGCCGCGAAAAAGATAATATTATCTATTTCGTATTGTACATTCGTATCAGTTTATTACTTCCTGTTTTGTATACCTTTGTATTGATACCCTGACCACATTCAATGCCACCGTGTGTGATAGAAACAGTACCATCACGAGCATAGATTGAAACAAGTGAATGAAATTGTCCCATTAATTCGAATGGATACATCATGGGTAACAGAGATATTCCCTTCTTCTTCCATCGATTTTCCTACAACAGAATTTTTCATTTTCTACGTACATATTCTCCAGATAACTAAAACAATGTCAGTTTCAACCATTCGTTATGGTAGCGCCATTATAACTTTCGTTCAGGTTTACGAATAAATAATATATAAAATAATTAAATTGTAAGAATGTCTTACGCTATTGAACGCTTCTACAGCATTCTTCCTCGTATCATAGTCTGCATTCTTGCACAATTCCGTTATCATAGGTAGCAACATACTTTTGTGGATCGGGTCCATGTTCAGCAACCTAACTTCTAACGGATCTTTGCCGATAGCATGTGCAATATGTTCCATTATGTTTTCTATCATGCCGACAGCTTCCGTAGAGCCTGCATCCCACAAATAAAAACGTAAATTTCATTTCCAACAAACGAAAGGCAAACAAATAAATATTTGATATACCTGGTGCTCGGCAATAAGTATTGGACGGTAAATCGGTTTTGGTTTCAATGCCCTGTATGGTCCAGGTGTTGAAGATGTAGCAGCTGGAAATTTCAACGCATGAAATCCAATCGTTTGACCATTTTCTCAGTTCACAATTATATTTATTAGCGATGCTCTAATTAATTCAGGCTGTGCACGCTCAGCAATCCTCACCTTTTGAAATGTTCTGACGCTATAGGCGTGTGAAACTCGTTAAAGTTACTGCCACTATTAGTCCATTGCTTTGAATTTAGATATTGAATGAACCCGTTGTCGTCCACGCCAACTTCGTACTCCTGGCGTGTATCGTAGCGTTTACCTACTGCCATCATGTTGCTCTCTATGGACATGACGAATCGTGCCGGACGATTTAATTTGAAGCAAGCCAGCGCACATGCACAAGCCACCTGCGTGGCACGCGATATCTTTGAGCCATAACCGCCACCCAGCCGCCTCACCTGGATATTTATGCTAAAATAATTGTTGCAATTAATCAAACATCGTCCATACAAGAGCTTTTACGATGCTATACCAACTGGGGCCCAAAGTATGAAATTTAAAAACTAATATTTTACCTGTTATTCTTTATACTGAGACATTCAGCTATTGATACTTGAGTAAGGTCCATCGACTGTGTCGACGAATAGACGTCCATACCGTCTTCAACTGGGACGCAAACGCACGATTGGGTCTCCATGGTGAAATGATATTGACTGCCACATCGGAAAACGCCTTTTACCACATGTTTCGTGTCGGTTCCTGCAACGTATAGTATTAAATAGAGAATAACAATGAAAATGAAAATTTCAACACTTTCTTGTATAACATAGGCATTTGAAACATTCGTGGTCCGATTTTCATCAGTTTTTTCAATGAAAAACAATTAACTGCTCACTGTAGCAGATGAAGGAGCAGCCAGTATAGAAGCAAATAATAATCTACTGAGGAGAAAGTGAATTATTAATTACAAAGTCAATTAAGAAAATGTCAAATTTAATTATGAGTTTAGCAGAGGCCTAAAACTTCATTGCAGGCTTGTTTTAAAAGACAAGATCTTATCTTCTTCTTAAAACCAAAAATTGGTTGCTACTACCTGATAGTACCTTACTACTATCTGATACCTCTATATTATATTATTATATTATAGCAGAAAATAGAATATCCAGGAATATAAATCCTGCTGTATTTGGAGCAAATAAATAAGATTTAAAAATAAGTTTTCATCTCCGCACCTTTGGTCGGGGCGACAATGTTAGACATTGGGAGAAATCTAGTTTCTTCGTTCGAGGCGATGGCATCCTCTATCGACAGCACCGGTTTATCCGTTGCAACGTCCACGTAAGAGACTTGCACCTTCCCTGCTGCATTCATTGCAATGGTATGTGACGTAGCCACGATCATTCCAACAGGCTGTCCGGCATATTCGATTTTCTTATCCACAAACAACTACAGATCAGAACGAACGAGTCAGACATTTCGAAAATTTTAACCCATTTGTGTCCTACCATGTTCGTGTTATTATCGTATTCGATAATTTTGTTTTACAATGTTTGTGCAATTCGACAAGCTATTTTAATGCTCACGTTCTTTTCTTTTTTACTGTATCAAACCTTGAATACGAAGGACTCACTGTATTCTTACTTTTTACACTATAATTTGAACAAGCGTTAGGGATATCTCTAAACATGGAAAAATTGTAAATCTACTGTTCGATTTACCACTTCGTCATTGGGTAACATTGTTTCCTGAGTGGCCCCGCTGATAAACAAATTCTTCCCAGGGACATCTTTGGCAGATAAGAACGCCACTACTCCTTTCATTTTCTGCAATAATGTATAATAGTTTAGAATAGTTTTCTAAGAAAAATTTCAACCGATTTCATAGTAAAAATACAGTACCAATGCTTCGGATGGGTCGATGTTTTCCACATGTCCGCTGGCCACCGTAGTAAGAACAAACGCGCAGGAAACTTCGTTTGGCATGGGAGGGACGTCGTTCGTGTATTGCGCTTCTCCTGATGTTTGGTACACAGACTCCATTTTTGGCAGAGGTTGGTTCATTGGCCATAGATTCTTGTCTGTGTCGTAGTCATGTTTTCCAGATGATAATTCCCTTTGCAAAATGGTCCCGCCACTGCGTGCTTTGGGATCCACGTTTTCCGGTTTGATACTCAGAACAAACTAAACAAGAACGCATCGAATATCGATTCACAATCAGACTAGTCTATCAACGCAAGTCTAAATCATTTGTCACGACTAGATAGCGAATTCTTATAGAAGTACATATTTTTTGCATATTTTGTACAAATAACATAAACGAGCGTGTTACATACTTTCTTCTGATATCAGTCTTATTTACAACGAAGTTTAAATCATAGTTGATAAGAAATTTAATTCATAATACAGTAGAATCTCCATTATTTTAACTGCATAAAAATCCGCTGTTTAGTCTTCAACGTGAGTCGAAATCTTTCATCTAAAAAGTACCTTGAAGAAAAGTCCTTCGGCAAGGGTCTTCCTGAACTCTGGAGAATAATCGGGCAACACGTAATTAGGGTGTAATTCGCTGTCCAATGTCTGTATGGCTTGTTTGACCACGTCCTTGTTCAAAATATTTTTGTCAACCAGGAAGGCTTCGGTATTAGATGCGTGCAACTGGAAGAACCAATTCAGTTCTCAAATGCAAGGCGCCTCTTTACGCGTATTACTTAATGTTTCTTTTACTCACAAAGTCCGTGTTTATTCCACCTATTATGATGTTTGGTTTCGTTAAGACCTTACCAGCTCCGTCCAATTTAAATAGAAATCCAGCGTTAACGTGCGCATGAGCATTTTGAGCCCGTGGCATTATCTAGGATCAAATTCTATCGGTGAAATTGTTTCTAAATAATTTCACAAAGGTTTAATAAGAAGGAAAGATGTACCTTATAAGATCTGTAGACGTATTCGCTGCTACGTGATGGTAGCACAATACTGTATATAATTTTGTGGTTCATATCGAAATTCAGAAACTCTATTAAATTCATAATGCTCTTGCCATTCGCGTCCACTGTTCGCAAAAAAGAAAAGATACAGTTTGATGTAAGCATATTGATAAGTACTTCAAATGCTTTTTTGTTAATATAGGATGACTTTTTTATAAACATTTATTTAATCTTCGTTTGAAATGAAGGGTAAGTAAACCCGTTTACCTATGTGCAGTTGTGCGCCCGAAGTTTCAAGTATCAGAAAAAGATCCGAGGGAAAATCCTGATGCTGGTGCTTTATCATCAAGTTTCCAGCTACGGTTCCAATCTGCGACCAATTTATTCCAAACAATTATTATGCACTTCGTTCGTTATCTCAAAGTCTTGGTACGTACATTTCTCACGGGCACGGAAGCGATTAGATCAATGTGGTTGGCCAACTGTAGCAAATATTCGAAATTTGGATCCTTGGAATGTTTTTTGAAGGTCTCTATTGCCACTGTAAGGCTAACATTTCCGCCAATAGTCAAGGAATCGTCACTTTTGTTTATGCGGCGTAAATCAGAGATATCATTAATGGCTATGTACATATCGGGCTGTTGTATTCGGTAAACACCTGAAACAAAACGATAAAATATTTCATAAGTATATGTTAATACAAGATGACGTACACAGAACACGTTAATTAAATAATTTGTATATTTTTTAAGCATTTGATAAACATATGGTTATTTACCGTTAGCAGTGTTGCCGCCGTTTAAAATGTAACTTGCATTTGGTTTTTTCTCAAAGAGTTCCATCAGATCGCTCACTGACAATACTTTGTGAAACTCTGCACCGTCTAACTTCATGTCGATCTTGCTCTCGCTGTTTTGAACGACCGCGGTACAATTGTTAGTACAGGGTTTCCCAGTCTTTTTGCATTTTTTGATCTTGTACAGTTCCTGAATAGCGAAAATACGATTGTATACAATTTCGACTACGTATCTGATAAGTACACTTCTCGAAACAATTAAAGGATTACATGCTCGTATAGTTTTATCTGTCGATGAAGTACTTGGGATTTCTGAAGCTCCCGATATCTCATAAGCTATTTAGTAAAAATATTAATGTTCTTACTATCAGCGATAGACAGGCCGGCGCCGAAATAGATTGTGCGATTAGTATAGAATGATATTATTATCTGACAATTAGACTGTGGATTTCTATGCAGCTAAAATATCTTTGAATATTAAACACATATGAAATCAATGTGTAAGGAATATGCAGATAATTTGCAAACAGTATTGTGCAGGATATACAGGGTGTTCGGACACCACTGGGAAAAATTTAAATGGGAGATTCTAGAGGCCAAAATAAAACGAAAATCAAGAATATCAATTTCTTGACTGAGGCTTCGTTAAAAAGTTATTAAAAAATTAAATTAAAAAATTTTAAATCATACTAAAAAAAATATATTTAGTTACAGAGGTCAATTACAATCATTTTTTGTCATTACACATACCCATAAAATCCTACGCATTTTGGAGAAAAAAAATTGTTTACCGAAACTACGTCTGACCCTGACATTCCGATTTCCCTGAAATTTCAAAAAATCTCAAATCATTCTGGAAAAATTATATACGGTTACGGGGGTCAATTACAATTATTTTTGGTGAATAGACATACCCCCGAAATCCTTCCCACTTTCGAGAAAAAAATTCAGTTATGTGGACAAATTTTTCGACAAAATTAAAAAATTTCAAATCGTACTGAAAAAATTGTTTTTAGTTGCAGGGGTAAATTACAATCATTTTTGGTGAATACACATACCCCCGAAATCCTTCGCACTTTCGAGAAAAAAATTCAGTAAGGTGGACAAATTTTTCGACAAAATTAAAAAATTTCAAATCGTTCTGAAAAAATTGTTTTTAGATGCAGGGGTAAATTACAATAATTTTTGGTGAATACACATATCCCCGAAATCCTACGTACTTTCGAGAAAAAAATTCCTTACCGAAAATGTAATTTCTGGCCAGAAATGAATCTTTAAAACATCATAACTCCTGAACGGATTGGACGATTTTAATGTTTTAAAAAGCAAACGACGCATATTTTGCTGTAGAATATGTAGAAATTGTAACCATATTAAAAAACATGTTTCTTGACCCCGTAAAGTGAGAAAAACACCATAAAAATGGACCAGTTTTCGAACAACAATAACTCCTACAATAGTGAACATATTTCAATGAAAGTTTCTTCTGAAGTAGAGCTCATGGATACCTACAAAAAAGTATTAGACAAAATTTCCATACAACGTCAAACAAAATTACTAAAAATAAAAAACAAATTTTTAATGCCTAAATTTTTCAGCGAAAAAAAAATTTCACATCTTTTTGAAAAAATTATTTACGGTTACGGGGGTCAATTACAATCATTTTTGGTGAACAGACATGCCCCCGAAATTCTGCGCGTTTTCGAGAAAAAAATTCAATACGGGCGGAACTTTAAGCGTTAATAACTTTTTAACAAAGCCTCCATCAACAAATTGGTATTCTTGATTTTCGTCTTATTTTGGCCTCTGGAATCTCCCATTCAAATTTTTCCCAGGAGTGGTCGAACATATACATGTATTGCATGTATTTTTCAAAATTCAGTAATTTTATAGTTGTTTTATTCATCATAATTTTCGTCGCAATATACATATAACAATCGTTTTTTCGAGATTTTTTACTATAATATGGTATTACTTGTTTTCGTTAAAGTCATAATATATTTGCATTGTCCTTTTTTTTTTTATTTCTTATTAGAAGTTAAACTATTGTGTGTTAAGAATAGTACAATACGCTATCAAAATAGAACCACCTATTTTGGCGCCACCCTGCACATTCAGGAACTAACCCAAATTGTTTCCAGCAGTGCATTTATAAACGGAATGTACTCACTTCGATGTCATGAATATCTTTGGCGAGTTTTTTGTCAGCGTCGACAGCAAAGCCCTTAAAGGTGTCTAAAATTGGTCTATATCCTGTACAACGGCAAATATTACTACCGAAAGAATTTTCTATCTCCTTCATGGTAAGCTGTTTGCCCTGCAAAAGGCTAAATAGTGTCGTCTTATCGATTACGTTTGCCCCTGACTAGTTTGATTCAAAGTGCACCGGAGAAAAAATCTAAATAAGTATAATTCACCTGTACATGTTCATTATCATACCAGGGGAACAATAACCGCACTGCGAACCATTCTTGTTCGCCAGTGATGCTTGCAACACATGGTAGCCATCTTTTTTATTACCTAATCCCTCGATGGTTTTAATGCACCAGCTATAACAATAAGATTCAAGAATCTGAACCTTTTGCTTACTCGACTTGGCACGCGTGCGAGTAATTAACCCCTTAACCGGGTCCACTTTGACCCAAATCTCAATTTTACTATTTCGCATTTCATTACAAGAATTCTGATCTAATTTTTCCGTTATCGTATTCGTGAATTCATTATTCATTAATGTCGTTAATTTTGCAAGCTCACTCAGCATTAACATTATTATTGTTATATAGCAAAAATCAAAATTGCAAGACTCTGAAAAAAGTAGCTCGTTCGAAATGGACCCAGACTCTACTGGATCAAGGGTCTCATTTTGTCGGCCTAATTCTCTAAACATAATCAGTTCTCTTTCTTGCATTTTCTTACTAGGCTACATAACAATGTATTTTTTGTTAATTACAATAAATTTGTTAATGTAATGTAGAATGTAAAGAGAAACGATTAGATTAAACAGAGATTATTTCTAAAAGCATATCTATCGCTGCTCGAGTCTGAGAGTTTATTAGTTTAAAAATTATAATTTTTTGAGAGTATAACAATCATACTTACCCATCACAGATTATAACTGGCACTAGGCAAGAATTCACAGACATAGTCTCTCCCTTGACAGTCACCGACACGATACATGCTCCGCAACCACCCTCGTTGCACATAAATTTCGTCCCCGAAAGTTTCGCATAATTTCGAATGTAGACGTTGAGGGATGTTCCAGGAGGTATACTTTCCGTGACTGAAAAAAATTGCGCCATTTTAATTCCTATGGTCGTCGTTTTCCTCTGCCATCATTATCCTCAGGAAAGGATTAGTTCATTTTCAAGAAAAAATCCGTTAATCCCTATTTCTACGTCACGAGCGTAATTAACGCCATGGTGGTCACTGGTGACCGGCGCACGTTGTAGAGAACCTATTTTAGAGATATTATATTATTTTTTCGTCGATACTATTGCTCTTTTTACGTGCTTTCGTTTAACTTCACTTGTTACAGAATATCAAATCTTTTATTTTAGACGACACTACAGCATCATAAAAAAATTATTATACACTGTAATACAGTATTTAAATACAGTTTTTGTAACTTTTACAATGGCAGCTAGTAGCAATCAATTATTTTTCTGAAATAAAGTTAAGGCTTTAGTTTGTCTGCATTCATCTTGAAATAACAAATAAAAATGAAGTGTATCCTACAAAGTATAACTGAAAATAATCCAATGGTGTACAAGTTTAATTTAGCACAATTCAAATACGTGTATAGCTTACTAAATTCCAATATTTAAGTAGTAAATAATGATTTTGTATAATGATACGTTTTTTGCTTTCATAAAAGTCCGGCAGTCGATCTAATTAATTTATTTCGCGATCTCTCGTGTTTTTAAAAATATTTATATTATTTAGAAAATATACCAGTATAGGGCGATCCATTGATAGTGAGTTCCACCGATTTCTTCACATCTCTGCAACACAAATTTAACGAAATAATCGATGTAAATTTTTCGATGAGTTCGAAATACAGGAAAATTAATTATATTATTCTCAATCTTACACTTCTATTTTACAGTTTTATCATACAATGTAAAATCGAACGATTGATTTCTTTTCATTTCTACTCAAAAACTCTAAACATTTGTCTAAACTAAGACAATTTAGATGGTGCTTATATTATTATAAGCTTATGAATTATATTATTCTCATTATACCATTTTACACTTTTATCATACAATATAAAATCGTACGATTAATTTCTTTTCATTTTTATCCAAAAACTCTAAACCACTAAGACAATTTAGATGGTGCTTATATTATTATAAGCTTATAAATTATACAGGGTGTTCGGCCATCCCTGTGAAAAATTTTAATGGGGGATTCTGGAGGCCAAAATAAGACGAAAATCAAGAATACCAATTTGTTGATGGCTTTGTTAAAAAGCTATTAACGTTTAAAGTTCTGCCCGTATTGAATTTTTTCTCGAAAATGCGCAGGAATTTGGGGATATGCCGATTTACCAAAAATTATTGTAATTGACCCCCGCAACCGAAAATAATTTTTTTAGAACGATTTGAAATTTTATTTTCCGTGGGAAAATTTCACACATCCTCGAATTTTTTTCTCGAAAGTACCTAGGATTTCGGGGGTATGTGTAATGACCAACAATGATTGTAACTGACCCCCGCAACCGAAAATAATTTTGTTATAACGATTTGAAAAATTTTTTTTCACCGAAAAATTTCAGCACCTACTCGATTTTTTTTCTCGAAAGTAGATAGGATTTCAGAGGTATGTGTACTCACCAAAAATGATTGTAGTTGACCCCCGCAACCGAAAATAATTTTTCCAGAACGATTTGAAATTTTTGAATTCAATTGTTAATAACTTTTTAACGAAGCCTCCATCAACAAATTGGTATTCCTAATTTTCGTCTTATTTTGGCCTCTAAAATCGCTCATGTAAATTTTTCCCAGGGGTGGCCGAACACCTTGTATTATTCTCATTATTCTATTTTATACTTTTATTATACAATGTAAAATCGTACGATTGATTTCTTTTTATTTCTATTCAAAAACTCTAAACCACTACAACGATTTAGATGGCGCTGTAGATACTGCGAAACTACGAGATAACGATAATAATGAAAATTACTATCGAGCGTAACAAATCTCAACGAACTCGATAATGGAGCAATTATATAATTGATAAGCGGTGCAGAATTCATCTATGGTATTCGACCTTGACAGCCACGTAACGTTAAAACCTAAAGCACTCGGTGAACTATCAGTTTTATATGATAAGCTATTAATAATTTACTCGATAAAAATTTATACAATCAAATGTATCTGAGACGATGATATCTTATATTTATCGTTTAATAGACATTCTAGGTTTAGCTGATTCATTCTATTGCGAAGTTTAGCAATTCTTACGACAGTTCAAGTTCTCCGTACTCTGTTTATAAAGTGAACACGAATACAGAACAAAAGAATTGCTAAGAAGAAAACATAATATGACCCATGGGCCTTAACAGAAACGAATCGAAGAACACATTAGAGTACTTGAAGGAAAATTAACATGTACCACGAAATATAGACCACCATGATGCAATATCGTCGCTAACAAACGGTCGAGGCAACGTGAAAAAGAATAAATAAAAAAAAAACAAACACATTATTACAAATGAAACAAATATATCATATACAATTAAAACAAAATAAAATAAATCGGAGCAATTGAAAGGAAAACTCTGTATTCCATGCGTGAAGTGAGCAATATTGCAAACACTATTACATTGCTATATTCAACAGTCATAGACAAGAATACGAGCAGAGAATAATAACAACAAAACACAATAAAACATCACAACAATTTAAAAAAACAATTCGTATTCTGCACCGGTAAAATACTCAGTTTAGAAATCGTTACACGTGTCTAAATATAACAGAATGAAATCGTCGTGACTGCGAATATAAAACATTTGTCAACAGTTACAAACGAGAGTACACTTTATTTTTTTAAGCTTTCCACGACACTTGGAACACGATACACCATCATTTGGAACAGTTTAAAACGAAGATTTTTATTCTGCTTCGGTGAAATGTTTTAGAAATCGTTTCTGTATGAATGAAAAATCACTGTACTAACTTGACGAAAATGTCGGTGCTCAGCACGCAATCTGAACCTATCCTGAACATTTTTTTTTATCGATGTGTCAGAATTCAAACACTCGCACTGCTTATATTACAACAAAGAGCACACGGGTTTCAAGGAGTCATCTTGATGAAACGGACTCCACAGTACTTATGATGTCTAACGAGTGGGTACACATTATCGTGAGGTACGAAGCACTTCTGAACACCGATGTGTACGAACGAAAATCACGTGGGCTAACGAGTGGCAGTAAACCAAAGATAGGCAAGATTTTATTCGTACGTTTGATAACGAATAAAACCGACGCGTAGCAATTTATTCGCGACGTTTATTCGATTACATCACATTGCTCGATAAGCTACAAACGTAGATTATGACGAATTGGAAGAAGTCCAACGACGATAAGTGCAACAGAACGTCGATTATCCGTTCTGATAATTGATTTTTTCGATAATCGTGCGGAGAAAACCAACATTGCAACAATGCTTATGATATAAAAACTATATTAATAATTCTTTGAATATCGAAGAAGTTCAGAGGAGGAGAGATTAATGAAAAACATTCGAAATTTCAGGGATTCGAAGAATTATAAATAGTAATAGAAACGAAATTGCTCGAAGCGATTAAGATTCAGATAATCGATTGTTTTGGACAACGAGTCAAACACCTTTGTATTTGTCAGTGATTGAATTCGAAGAAATTGCGATACTCTTGTTCCTTTTAAAGACAAGGACTGATAAACCATTTGTTAAACGTGACATGCTGTGTGATTGTTAATGTTTTGGTTTGGACGATTGAAGAATTTCATGATACAAAGTACAACATACTGTCTTAGTCATACGATTGCTGTTGCCATGTGCGTGTAGTGGAAACCATAAGCGTCAGCGCAATAATTGCTTGTACATAATTACAGGTGTCTTTAAGAAACATTCGTCTTCTCTGTGGAAGCCATGAATCTATTACAAACTTCACTGTTAGGTTGTATCACAAATATGTAGTATTAAGTAAGAGAAGAAAGAAAAGAAGAAGAACTTGATTTTTAAATTAAAGACATTTCCTTTGGATGATAAAATCAAATTGAAGGATTATTCGAGGGATTTTAAACGATTATGTGTTGTTATGTATCTAATCAATGTTTTCGAAGATTTCAATAAACTGAACTTTAATTTATGACGTATAAATATATTCTACGGTCAGGATATCGTAGAGGCAGTGATAAAGAATTTGTTTTATCGCCAGGTCGCATTTTAAATGGAATCAATGGCTCACTTCCGTAATATAAATAATTAACCGAATTTTAATTTATGAGGTATAAATATATTCTAAGGTCAGGATATTGTAGAGGTAGTGATAAAATTTGTGCAATTGTCAGGTCGCATTTTAAATGGATCAATGGCTCACTTTCGATCGTAATATAATCAATTTCGAGATATTATTTTCTATTTTTTTTAAATCTGAGAAGCCTTCTTCTTCCTTCTAATAAACGCCCCCTCTCCCCTAAAATATTTAATTCAAGAAAAATGAACTTAGATAGATAGATAGATTTATTTCCTGCTTCCCCTTAGGGTTACACTTCCTCCCCACCTTACATTTCCATCTCTCCCTTAACCTAACTTATCCTACTTATCCTACTTATTCTACTCTTACTCTACTCCTCACTGCCCTTACATCCTCCCCCCGCTGCTTTTCCCCTCTCTCTCATTTCCTTTCGCCGCACGCTCTTATCCTAATCCTACGCTACTCGCTCTCTCTCTCTCTCTCTCTCATCTCCCTTCGCCGCACGCTCTTAGCCTAACCTTACGCTACTCGCTCTCTCCCTCTCTCCCTCCTCCCTTCTCTCCCACTCCTCCACCCCCGCTCGCCCTCCCCGCCGTCGACTTCCATTTCCGCCCTTGCATTCCATTCCTTCATTCACTCCTCCCCTCATCCCCCCCTTCCCCCCTCTCCACCTCTTTCTCTTTCCTCCTGACCTCCAGCCTCTTTATCCACCCCTCCCCTCCCCCTCCCTCGTCCAAAATCTCCCTTATCCTTTCCCCGATCCCCTTCCCCTCTGCCTCATCCCCCGTACATCTCTCCAAAACGTGCTCCCATGTCTCCTCCTCCCAACCACATACCCTACATCTCCTCTCTTCCTCATCCCCCCAGTACCTCCCCCCCCTCATCTCGTTCCCCATCCTATACCTAGCTAGCCTTCCATACCTCACTTCTCCCCACCCTGCCTTCAGGTACCCCGGTAACTCCCGTCCCACCAACTCCCTGTACCACCTATTATACCTCGACTGCACCACTTTTCCCCATCTCTCCTCTTCCTGCCTCCTCCCATCTTCCTCCTCCCATCCCTCCCAGCCCGCTCGCCCACTTGCCCCTCCCTCTCCTCCCCTCAATCCTCCCAACCCTCTACACCCCAACCTGTCTCTCTCCCACGCCGACAATTCCTCTCCCCCTTCCCTTCCCCTTTCCCTTATCTCTTCCAGGCACCACCTAGCCAACTCCCCTCCCTCTCCCCTACTCAGTTTCTCCTCATATCTCCCTGCCCTTCCCCCCGCCCACGTCCTCAACTTTTTCCTCTTCGTCTCCTCCCTTACCATATATCCTGGCGTCCTCCAGTCCACCCCCAATGACCACCTTATATACCTCTCCTGCATCCTCTCCATCTCCTCCCTCTCCCTCCACCCCCAAATCTCTGCCCCATATCCCGCCACCGTCCAGACCAACGTGTCGAACAGCCACATCCTCCTTCCCCAGTCCCTCTCAAACTTCCTTTTCCCGATTCCCCATGCCTGCCTCATTACCACCCCCGCCTTTCTCACCCTAT